TACTACTACTATTATTATTATTATTATTATTCTTGTTGTTGTTGTTGTTGTTGTTGTTGTTATTGTTATTGTTATTGTATTATTATTTATAAGTTGTACAATTAACCTCTCTGTGGTTCGACCCCGATCTTGTCGGGTTATTTATTACTTCGACACTCCTGCACTTGGGAGAAGACATCAATCTTTTAGTCATGTCAATTATGATTGTCAAACTCGTGAGTTGACTCATAAAATCGTATAATTTTACGAGTCAACACCATTATAACTTGTAAAATAGGGTAAAAAACTTGAAAATCAACAAATGTGGTAAACTTTGTCAAAATCGGTAAACTCAGACCGAGTTTATCGAGTTTGACAAAATTAGGTTTGTCAAAGAAGAAGATGCAGAAGAAGCATATAAGTGTGGAAATGATGGGTCTTGAGTTGCCAAACCCATGAGTTTTAGACCTTTTTATATTCAACCAGTAGTTTTTTTTACCTGCTCTGCTCTGCTTTATTGAAGAGAAAAAGCATTATGTGTTGTTCCTCTCTCTTCTCCTGAGCTGGATAGAGGAGACCAATCTTATAACCAAAGGTAAAGAAAGATCTATTGTTGTGTTCATTGAAGTAATAATTAATCTATATGCATCACTAGGTTTTATTGGTATTGAGAAAGAAGAAAACCTACATGCTTTTTCTTCATCTTCTTCTCTCTCTTTTTTTTTTAATTATTATCATTGAAAGATAATAATTATATGGCTGTCAAGAAAAGAGCCCTGGGATGGTCAAAATAAAGTAGATTAAATGATTGTAAAAGAAAAAGAAGATCGGAAACTCTTGACTTTTCTAAATCATTGATTTTCTCTCTCTTTAAATAGGTGTTGTTGTTGTATCAAGAACATCAAGTACATGTTTAAGAACATTAAGTACATGTTTGGTTGGTGTGGAAAATAACCAGGTATGTATGGTATCTTATTTTTTAAGAGTAAATGTCCAGCTTAAAACAAATGTTTTCCCTGGAAATCATAAAAAAAAATTTCTTATGATTTTACAATGTGTTTTTATAATTCAAGTTTATTTTGTATTTTTCATGTTATGTTAAAAATATATTTTTGATAACCTTGCTTTACATCCTTTTTTAATTAAAAAAATGATAGCTATGGGTCTGAATTTTTACATCTACACAAGCCTGGTCTTTTTAGTTATGGATTATGGCTATTGGCCCACTTAGGCCCGAACACTTGTTTTTTTTTTTTTTTTTTGCAAAGGCCTTTATGTTTTTTTTCTTTAATTTTCATTAAAATGAAAATAATTAAAAATATTTAGGTTATTTTTTTATATATACTTCTTAATTTTTACTTTGATTTTGGATATTATTAAAATATTATTTATATAATATCAATAAATGCTCTATTTGTATAGCCATTCATAATTTTTTAATAATTTTTATTTTTTTAGCTCATGTATATTTTTATTATCATATAATTAAATAAAAAATAGCTTTTAAATATTTTCTTATGATAACATGCAAATAATATATTTTTATTATATTTTTAATAAATTAACATCAAAATTATCAAAATATATTTTTTTTATTAAAAGGTGCATCAATCTAATAAGCTATTGTTTAAAAAATAATTTTAAAAATAAATAACATGGTAAAATAAATTCCAAAAAAACAAAAACAAAAGTGTGTTAATAAGATAGAGGAGTTTTAATTAAATAGATACATTGTTTTATCTTTATTTCAAATTATTTATTTTTTTATATTTATTCTAATTGCTTTTAGTTTTTATCAAACAAATAAAATATCACAACAAGCTATTTTTTTTAGAAAATAAATATATTAATAAGAAAAGAAAGAGTTATACTAGAAAAGAAATTATTTTACTTCAATGAAATTTAAATTATCACTGTTTTTATAAGAAATTATTGACATATAATTAAAAAAATAGTATTTTCATATTGCATGAGATCAAATATCTTAATATATATATATATATATATATATATATATATATATTTTGATTTAGTTTTTAATTAGCGCTAATACTCTTTTTATTATTTATTTGTGCATACAATTATTGATTTGTTTTATTAAACATACATGTCAACTTTTCAATTCATAATTAAAATTATTTTTATAATTGAAAAAACACATTAACAATGTCTATGCGCGCACATGCATGCATATATATATATATATATATATATATATATATGTTTTTTACCCTACTCCATTCTTATTTGGGATTTGTAGCATTAAGACCTAAGATTCTAAGTTTTTTCATTAACATTCTTATCATACTACAAAGTATAAACCTACAAATAAAAATTTATAATTATCACATGCTTGAAGGATCATTTATGGTAGCTTTAATCTTCAAAATCCTAACAAAGCTTCTTTTTTTTTTGCTTTTACTAACAAATATAAATTTAAATTCCAGAAAGATAAATCTTATTTTTACAAATATACTTTTCAAAATCAAACATAATTGTACCTAAAGTCATTTAACAGAAAGATATAATCTTGCTAGAAAATTGAATCCTTGAAGAAGAAACGCAACTTAAACCTTAATAACCTCTACAACTAAATATCAAGCTTAAACAAATAACCCAATACAATAATGACAAGATTAAACTAACATTTCACAAATATTCAACTACTTCTAGATTTCTAGATGAATGTTTTCATCAAGTATTTTTAATTTAAAAAGAATCTCTAAGATCCTTTATGTTATAAATATAATTTACTATACAAACTCATCTAAAATATCAACATATGATATTTTTATTATCAATTTTCAAAACATATATTATACCATAAATGTATCCAAGCCTTTAGATACAAATCTAGAAAATAACTGATCCTCTTCACCAACCTCTCTACTATATAAGAGAATATCCAAAATGAACTAAATATTTTAAAAAATAATTTATCATTAAAAAAATATTTTGTTAATGATTTTAATAGTAACTATAACTTTGAAAAGAGATTTGGTTTTTCAAAAAATTTCTAAAACAAAGACAAGAAATACAAAAATATTTTTTTTATGATTTTGTTACATTACATATAATACAAATCTTGTTTTTTGATTGGTTTGAGTTATATTATTAATGTGAATCTCTTGATTATATGATGAAGCAATCCATAATGAAAGTGATATAACTTCTAGAAAACTCAGAAATAAGGTTTGATAGGAATGTGATATAATAAAAATTTATCCTCAGACACAAATACTATTGAGATTAAATTGAATGATGCTACGAAATTAGTTAATTTTTGATAAGTCGGTTTAATATTTTAAAAACTAAAGAATGTTAGAATCACTCTTGCACAAAAGCTGAAAATTCATAATGATATTATTCAATAACTATTGAATTTTAGGCTTACGAGGAATTTAAATATTCTTAGAAAATAACCCTAATGAATATATTTTTATAGACTATATCAATCCACATGCATATAAAATTGATCCAAAACCTATATTGATTAGCCCAAAATATTGATCCTTATAAGTTTTGGATCTAAGTTGAAAACCAAGTATTTAATTAAACTCAAACATGAAGAAATAATAAAAATAATAAACATGACACATAAACTAAAATTGTTACATTTAATTAATAAAATAATCTTTGATAAATAAATTTTCTAGTTTAAAAAATATCATATATAAAATTTCCTACCTAGAAATAGTAGGATGTTTGTTGCATATCTAAAATAAATTGGTGCCACTTTCTATAATGATAGTGTTTAGTTGGACAAATTAGGATTTCTGTAGAGAGGACGACAAACAGTGAGAATTCAAGTCGGGAAGTGGTTTAATTAAGATATAAAACACAAGGATCTGCTATGAAGAACTGGTTGGAAATATCATTTAGAGAGCGACAATCTGCATTCCAAAAGGGTGGAATCTCTTGGCAAGATCGAGAGGATAATGCCATTTTGGTTATTCTTGCCACTCTCGCTCAGGTATACGAAGTCAAAAGTTCACCATGGAGGCTAGTGATTTTTTGGGTGGAATTTGGTCGTGGCTTGCCAGAGAGATTGAAGAAGAAGAAGAAGAAGAAGAACAGCCATGAGGTTCTTAGAGATTAGAGAAAATAAATTAGATTTTCATTGATTCAGTTTTTTTCCCCGTGAATAGCGAATTTTATACATTTATATGTTATATATGAGAATAGATTTGTTTTTTTATTTAAATTTAAAATTGATTTTATTTTTGTAAATTTTAATTTTTAAAATAATAGAAGTAAAAAATAAAATGAAGTCGGCTATAAGATATAAGGGCAATTTTTTTCTTCAATTTAACTCTTTAATAATTCTTTTTTTAATTTTATTATTTGGTTATATTTGGGAATTATGCTTTTTAACTTTTTTTTTTAATTTTTTTTGTTGGGTTATATATTGGCTTTATAGATTATTTTTTTAAATTCTAATCTTTAATATTAAATATGCTAGAAATAGAATTTCATATTTTTTTTCAAATTATTTTTTATAAATTTATTTTTATGTTATGATTTAGATCACAAGTTTAATAGGTTAACATAAATTAACTTGCATCATTATTTATTTACTAATTTTTTGAATTAATTTTTTCATGTCTTCATTTTTTAACATGATTTTTTTAATTTATTTTCTATAAAATTACTCTAATCTCATGAACTAGATTATATGCTTAACAAGTTAACTCGATTAATTCTATTTATTTTTTAGTTATTTTAAAATTGAGTATTTTTTCATTGATTTTTATATTTATTTTACATTAAATTATTATAATTTTATAACTCAAGTTATGGAGTTTGAAAGGTTGATTAAAATTATCAATATTTATTTTTTTAGAGTCTTTTTTTAGTTGAATATATATATATATATTATGAATAATTTTTTTATATTAAAAACCTACATTAACATGAACTAACAATCTAGTCTTTATTATTTAGTGGTATATAACATTAGAGTTCAATTGTATTTTTGAATTTTTTTGATAGAATGATATTAAAAATAAAATTTTAAAAATAAAAATATTATTTTAATATATTTTTAAATAAAAAATATTTTTAAAAACAATTTTTACTGCTATTTTAAGCCAACCGTGTTTTCGTCAAGAGAAGACTCGTCGTTGGGTGGTAGCAGAACTAGACAGCTGCCAAGAAACGGCATGTTGTTTTGAAGTGGGCACGTAGCTTCTCTCATCTCACGTCTCCTTTCTAAGACAACACAGGAGAGAACAAGAACAAGAAGAGAGCAAGAAAGACAACATTTGTAGCTACAACAAGATACAACGATAAGGGAAACTAAGAAGAACAAGAAAGGTTGCTTGCTCTGCCTACTTTCATTATCATGCGTCTGTCTGTCTTTCTCTCTCATTTTCTTTTTCTCACCCTAATAAACCATCTCTTACTTCTGATTTAACAATTGCTTTACTGCTTGCCTTTGTTTTGTGTTTGTGTTTTTTATTTCTTTTCTATGTATGGGGGAATCATGTATTGGATATTGAGGGTGAAATATGCTATGGGTTTTTGTGATCTTATTGTAATTTGTTCAAACTTTTTTATTTTGATCAGCACCCTTTTGGATAATGCTTGGTAGCGCAAAGTGTAAAGGATTTTGTAATAGGAAAAGTGTATTAAGAGTCATATGATTGATGTGGTTGGCATATGTAAGCGATAAGAGTGTTGTGAATATTTTTAAATTGTTTTTTGTTTCATTGAAGCTTTTGCAAATAATTGTTTCAGTCACAACCTCTTTAATGTTTTGTGTCTTATGGTCTGTGTCTGTATTGTTTAACACTAGTCTTACTCGTTTGTGCTGGCTACTTGTGTCATGTAAATGGACAGTCTGCTATTTTCGTCGAGGTCTGAATTATTAGGGTTCTTTGCCAATGGGTAGATGCTTGAATGAAATGTGTGATAGCAGAGATTGTATTTCCAAAATTGCTGTAATTCTTACAGAAGAAATGAGAGCGGGCACAAAGAGTTGGGTTGTTTATTTTAGTATTCAGGAAGGATATGTTTATGCTAGCTTACTGATGAGGTATTATGAAGGAGACTGCCTGCTTTGTGAGAATAGAATGGAATTGCAGAGAACTTTATCAATCTTTGATAGTTTTTCCTTTGATCAGGTAGTTGTTATATTTCAACATCATGATGGGATAGAAAGAAATCTTCATTTTTGTTTGCTATCTCATGAAATCTCCAGCATTAGTTATGTAAAAGATTCTAAGTTTATTACCATGAAAATTTTAATTCTCTTATTCTTCCTTTTCTTCTTGCCTTTCTTCAGAACTTTTTGCTGACAATTTATGTGATTAGCCAAGTGTGCCTTGTCTTCTCGAATTCAAGGTGCAGGGGAACTAAGAATGGTGTTTAGACTGGGATTTGTGTTGTGTCAGTTACTGGACGTATCTCTTCCATTTCTGTGAAGGAAATAGAGAGAAGCTGCTGAAAAATATTTCTCAAAGACAAATTTCTCATCTTCTCCACAAGAACATATAAAGGGATGCATTGATTTTTCCTTTTTATTTTTTCCCTCTATTTAACTATATCTACAAAGGCAGTCACGCATGCTGATAATATGAGTGTTCTCATTTTGAGGTTTTTCTTTGTAACTTTTGAAACCTGTACTTAAAGTTTGAGGAAGAAACTCTGTTCACATTCAAGAAAGGATATGAAGAAAGAAAGAACTGGGGCCTCCACATGTTATGAATTGGAGCAGCAAAATCATACACTAGAACAACTTTAGCTGGGTCAAGATGTTGTTATTTATAGCCTAAGATTCATTTATTTTGATAAGTTGTTAATATTGGCCTTGGTTATTTTGGTTGATATGCTAGGTATTTCATTTGGCATTTTGATACAACCAGGCTTGTGGGAAATTAAAGGTTCTGAGCATTCATGAGTATCTGACATAGCTATATCCAACGGTCCAATAAGTGATGGATTGACTTGCTAAAGGAAAACTATTTGTAGAATTATTTGGAAAAATTTGAGTCCGATTAAATGGTCAGATCTCTTGTTATCTTTGTTATAAGATGCTAACCTAGTCTGATGCAAACAGATCTTCTCTTGGATTTAGAATTGTCATCCTGGTCCATAAAAGCATCTAACATGTCATTCACATAGTCTCTTTGGGTCAGATCCCTATATGATTGTGTTAGATCCTCACTCGAATACTCAACCTTCAATTCCACAAGCTGCTGCATTTGCTTGTTATTTTTATGGATAGGACAACCTTTTGATTTTTTCACATAAATGCATTTTGCAGTTCCCATAAGAAATGGCAGTAAAACCAACAGTTGCCTTGAGGGCTGTACTTGTGGGGGGTGTAGCAATATTTGCCAAAGTAGCAAGTGTAATGAAGGCTGCTGGTGGTGTGAAGCTAGGGGCTGCTGCAGCAGCTGTCACAGCAGCTGCAACTGCTGCTATTTCTGGACCCAAAAAAGATTCAAATGATACTTCACCTTCACAATGATTACTTTTCAGTTTTGGGTTCATTTGTTATCAGGTAATTCTAGCATGTAGCAAATTGAGAGGAGTTTGGCTCGTGCTTGAACTTGATCTAGAGAGAATGTTCAAGCCAAGGAAATAAAAGAAAAGACATCGCTGCTTCCGGTACCGTGGATAATATTGGTTATTTTGCTGATTTTCCTTCAAGTTTTAGGGATAAATTGTTGTAGAAAAGCAAGGCACTGTCCCACTCGAATGATAGCTTGTTGTTTTCTTGATAAAATTATGCTCGCACTGCTCGATAGAGGCAGTTTTTGGTACTTTGTGATTCTCCTTGTCTGTGAATAATAGAATCAGAAGGGAAAGAATATCGCACAAAACGATGAGCATTTCTCAAATAGCAGGGAGAGTTTTCAAGAAGACCCAAGCCTTATAATAAATACGTTCAAGTGTCAATGACAAGGCAATAATGTTAGTTTTTTCAACTTAATCCAGTGTAAATGATGCTGTTTAAACAGAACATCTCTGGGATTCTCGTTGATATGCGCATCAATTCTTCAAAGTTCACTTCTGCTCAAGCGGGGCAACGTTTTGCTAATCAGTCTGCCATCCTTGTGCCAAATGCAAAATGCATCATGTGTGCTCTTGATCTTTAGAGTCTCAGCATTGCGAGTCAACTAATCTCCCTGATGTAGCAAATGTATAAGGTGTAACTAAAGCTGATGCACGCTTGATTTGCTTGAACCACATGTGAAGTCTGGGTGATCAACTGAATGCATGACAAGCTCAGGGTTGGGAGATTCTAACTCCAGTATGACCTATAAGTCGGAAACAAGACAAGAAGTCAAGGCAACAACACCTTTAGAAGGAAAAAACAAGTTCGGTACATCCCAATAATGTAGTATCAGTAGAAAAAACAAAGTTTGATACGTCCCAAATAATGTAGTATCAGTGGTGTGCATGGGTGGCATGGAGTGCATAGACACGAGGAAGATTTTGTTGATTCTTGATATCAACTAACAAACCCCTGGGAAAGAAGCTGAAAGCTTGATGTTTTAAATTTTGTCATCTTAACAATGGGTTCCAACACGGATCACAACTATGATATCAATAGACAAAGTTTGTGGCTTAGATGCCAAGACGATTCCATAACTAGTGAGTAAACTGAAAAATGGTGATCAAAGAAACTAATATGCGTATTATAGCATATAACCCACAAATGTGCTTGTGCATGTATGCACATCCACATATAAATAAGCTTTAGGCATTCCATACCAGAACATTTTCTCCATGCTGAAGGATCGGAGCAGGGACATAAAGATTGCATTGCGGACCAAATGACTGCAACCTCAGAGGAAAATTGTACACAAAATCAGGAAAAAAAAAATAATAGCATAAAAAAGTTGAGGACTGAGAGCAAGGCTGGAAAATCAAAATTAAGTTCTTTTACCGGCCAATATCTTCCTATGTTAAAATCATTAACAACTGCAATCCCTTTACCCCAACCACTGAATGATATGAAAGTATCATGAATCTGGCTCGTATTCTCAATAAAGAAATGGCCAGTGAAGAATGCTGGTACTTCAGAAACATTCCCTGAAAATAAAAGCAAACTACTGTTGATTCATTGGCATGTCCTGTTTATTCATATTGTGCTTTAATAAATGACATGAACTTGCAACATGAGATGGAAAAAGGAGTCATGCCTGACCATAAAACCAAAAGTGCCCAGGAATTGGCACCACAAAAAAATTATGCAACAGCTATCATAGAGGATCGCTAATGCATTGTTTTATGAATTTGAGACTCACCAGATTTATCTTTTAATTCTCTCTGAGTTGATACTGTAATGAATCTTGAATGTGCAACTTCAATGATGAGATTGATTTTTGGAACCTCGTTCAGGTTGTGGAAAGGGATGGGAATCATTTTCCATCCATGCAAAATACTCCCATCCAGAAAAACAGAAGACAAAATTCCCTGTAAAAGAAAGAAAAATCCAGTAGAATAGCATCTGTTAGACTATGTGGAAAGTGCAATATCATCTAAGATGCAAAATGAAAGTTAAGAAAATTTAGATTTCTGAATTTATTATCATCTGATATGTAGTATTCCCTCCATTTAAATATCTAAAGTCCCATTAATTACAATGCTAAAATTCATACCACATTTCTTTTTATGTTATACTTTAAGTGAGGAAACAATGACTATATTACTACACAGCTTTATCAAAAGACAACGGGTATGACCGAGATTTTGAAGGATCCTCTTTTAATTTACACAACAAACAATACAATGTGAATTTTTCCAGAATAATGGTCCTAAACCTGGCGTGTAATGTCTTGTCTTGAAAAGAACAAGACAACCAAGAAGTGTTGACTGTCCAGCTGCTTGAGAAATTGGATAGTCTTTAACTATTTTCTCAACTTTCCATTGCTTGCCAGCATTCTTCCTAAACTGTAAATAGTCTTTAGCTGGCAAAGTTTCCTTTATATGTTCAGATTTTAGCAGGCAGACCACGAAAGCCAGAAATTCACAAACAAGAGAGATAGAAAGTGCAGGAGACATCATATAGAGCTGAAGAAAAGAATTTGAATTCTTGAGTTTCAACCACTCAGATAAAGAAACTGTAATACAATCATACTAAGAAATCATGAATCAGCTTTAGTGGATAAAAACGGAGCAAGTTTACCTTCTTGTCAAATATGTATGGTCCATAATTCACATGACCCTGATTTTCAACCTATCAGAATGAAAAATAAACTGATTCAATAAAGAACGTAATAATTTTCAATATAAAAATCCCACACGTGCAAATTATGAGGACCTATCACAATAAAGGGAAAAGGATAGTTCTCAGAGAATCCCTTCGTTATTGGCAATACACTGGAAACAAAATCCATTGAGATTAAAGCTGTTGCTCAAGCATCTTTCTTATAATTGCTTTCAAGCCAGTTTATTGCAAGAATTTAAGTCATGTTACTGTATTTCAATGAGTAAACGGAACAAAAATGTAAAAATAGATAAAATTTCCCTTGATAGCCAAAGTAAAATTCAACCCACGCAAGGACTTTAGCAAGAAAATGAACTCAGAAGCGCAGTTATAAAATTCCAACAGCTCTGTACAGCAACAATATTTCCATTAAACTACTTTAACTTCAATGTAGAGCTTGCATAACTAGCTAAAGTAAAACCATCAGTGATTTTTTTTCAGGAGAAACAGGATAGTCAGGTACCAAAACAAATAAGCTGATGTTCGAAGCACATTTGGCATTAGGAAGGCCAAGTTTTTTACTCGACAACCTATCAATTGAACCAACATGCGTTGGTCTTCTGCTATTGTCCTCCGAATGGCATAAAGTAAACACTTGAGCTCTATCATGAACCTGCAGCATAGAATGTTGGGAGAAAAAAGAAATTGTTTCATTTTATCAAACCAATAACAGGAATGAAAAATGCAACTTGGACATTAAAATGACACGCACTAGCATTGCATTCCTTATCATAAATTGAAAAAACAATAAGAAGCAACTATTTTACAAAGGATCAAATTACAAAATCTATGCATGGTTTTATACCTCTGGTATGAGAAGAACGCTTTTATCATCCTTTGGAGTGTACTCAGAAACATATAATAGAAATCCAAACATCTGAATCGAAGAAGTTTCAGGTAGCAAGCACTTTTTGTTCAATAAGGATAGCTACAAAACATAAATTAAAAAAAAAAACATATATATAGATAAGATAATAAAGTTGAACACCTGTCCCACAGACTCCATTGAGAGTGGATTTTCAGATTCAACTACATCAGCTGGATTAATATTGTCAAGTAAATCAAACAAGAATGCTGTTTTCTGTAACTGAATAGGTCCATATCCCATCTTTCCATTATCAGAAGGAACAGATGGAAGAGATGCTGCAGTATGAAGTTCGATAACCCTGCGCAGTGCTGAAGTAAGAAGTGATCTATCTATATATTATCTTGCTAGATAAGCACTGCTTAGAATAGAAATTTGAGTCAATAGTCATTAAACAAATAAATCTGAAAACAGCTTCAGAGACATGCTGGGCAGCTCTGAAAAACTGCAAGCACATTTGGGCATAGTTATCATTACTGAAATTTCCTTCTATGTAAAGACATCCGTCACAGTGACATTAATCTAGGAGGATGAGAGTGAGTCAAACACCATATCGTTTATAGTGCAGGACAGAAAATACTGAAACAGCTAAAGATGTCAACTCCGGTCTAATATGACCAATCTAACACCAAAATTACTATTTTAAATCATCCCAACATCTAAAGCAACCACTCAAAGAGTCACTTTTTCAGGAGCTAAAGAAAAAATAAATCAATGATAAAAGGTATAATGTAAATGTACGCTCGCATCCTATCAGCAATTATTCTTGCATGTTTCTGTGTTCAATTCCAAGTACAAGGCTTTCTATGGAAATGCTCTGGAAATGTACTAGCTAAAAAAGTCACAGCTACCAGTGGTGAGGCCTTGCCTCTCCATACGAGAAAGAGAGATGCTCAGAGATGGATCATTTTTTAACCTCTACCAGTTGAATGAAACTTTCTATTGGCATTATTAACAGATGCGTTTGCTGCAAGAGTCTTGAGATATGCTTATGTATGATATTTATTCCTTTAAACTCAAGTGACATCATTAAGCACAATCAAGAGTCAGGCATGCTACACTTTTATCTGTGCAATCTACCCACTAAAATCACTTCTCCATCAGCCTTCCAACATAGTGGAAAGAGAAAAAAAGAAAAAGAAAAGGTCTTGGTCATAACAGAGCTGGCCATATTTATTAGGAAGTTTTTGTCCTCCCAGTTATCTATTTCAAAATCAATAAGTGGAAACATTAAAATTATACCCACAAAAGCAGCCAGGAACAAAAGCATGTCACAGCAAGAAAATTCCAACGCTTTTGAAAAATGCAAGTTTTGTTCTGTTATATCAATCCTTAATACACTTGGTTATTGTCATTCAGGAAGCAAGTTGCCAAACAAACCAGATTAAAACTAGTCCAAAGTAATCACAATCATTATAGAGTTGTTGATAGAAGGATAGATCATACAGCTCAGCTGGAAAAAAATTTATCCCTCCACCCACGCCAAAAAAGAAATCATACCATTGAATTTTGCGTTCTCCACATCTCCAGATTCGCTGATTGGTGCATCCTGGAAAATTATCATTTTAGTCCAGTATACATTCTATTCCATAAAATCAGTAATCCTGCAAGTCAATCCTCACATAATCATATGAAGTGATGTCTGGCTTGTAATCAGACTCATCTACACCAGTATTTGCTCCATTGTAGAATCCAAAGTTTGTTCCACCATGCACCATCTGGGAATTTAAAAAAATCATAAAAAGAAAAAAGGTAATGCAATTACTTGCACACAAATACTTCAGCAGCAGAAAAAGGTTTGAACTAGAGGACATACATAAAGCACAGCAGAACCATTCTGTGACAATATCTTTTCCAGGGCTGAAGCAGTAAAATCAGCACCAGTCTTTGCATTCTTCTCACCCCAATGTGTCAGCCAACCTGTATAAAACTCCCTGGAAACACCAAACACTAAAATGTAGAACCACTGACCATTCAACATCAAACTATTTAATGAAGCACTTACGAAGAAAGCGGTGGTGATTTTCCAGGGGCATTGAACTCCTTTTGTAACTTAAATATAGGCCAAGGATCATCACCAGTAGTGAAGTCTACAGCTGCATATTGCGTATAAAACATGTGATGCATGCTTAAGATATTTATACCATTCCAATAGAAAATCTGAATTTTGTATAAATGGAACTTCTAGATTTTCAAGGTTTAAGAAGTTTCACTCAAAGCACAGGTCATATACAAAAAGTAAATGGCCATATGTTCTTTACTTTATTTGCTATTCTAGACTGTTTTTCATGTAATCTAAGTGAAAAAAAGAAAAGTAGAAAAAATGAGACCAGATGAAACCGCCAGCCATAGGCATCCAGAAAATAACATGGTCAATTTCCCATAATTCACAGAAAAAGGGTTGAATTCGATCACACTTTCTCCATAGCTATTCAAATGAATGTGCTGCCAAAAAGAGAAACTTTGACACATGCTCCATAACATGTCTGTGTTAATTGGACTCTTCACTTTACCCTAGATAACAAACACCAGATACTCAAGCATGAATATTGACACTTGTACACTTGAAATTCATGGAAAATATGTGTTTACATATAATACCAATAATAGCACTTGTATGTGGAATAAGTTACGGTTGGAATCTAATAGACAAATATAAACATAGTATTATCTTAAGATATCTTAGCAAAGTGGGTAATAATCAAGTACACATAGAAGATTAGAAAAGGAACTTCATAATTTTACTTGAAAAGACAGCATCTCCTTGAATGGTTCCTTTCTCAAGATTTTCCCTAGAACCTCCATCTGTGGTATACCTAGAAATAATTAGTCAAAATAGGGACACTAATTAAACAATTGAAAATAATCTATGCAAAAATTAGTTAAATAAGTTAAACTGAAGCTAGTGCTGTGGTTGAAATACATTTTGGATAAATGCAATAGGCAACAGAAAATTTTTTCTACCATACAACATCTTAAGGACATGACACAATTATGTTTTAATAGATGAAAACATGAATGCACAGATGCAAAGCACAGAGAATTCACAACATCTAATCAAATCAAATGTATCTGGATTTATAATCTAAAAGGGGGAAAGGAAGAGGTACAAATACACAGCACACTGTTTTATATTTACAGAATATCAAAAGGAGATGGTACCATATCCAAGAAAATTAATATGCATTTCATCAAATGTAATTATGATCTTAGGTTGGTGGTGATAGACGTCCAATTGGATAGGTAGAAAAATGCCAGAAAGATCAACATGCAACTTCAAGTAGGAGGCACCAAGGAAATTTCCTGTTGGATTAAATGGTTTCTTAAGCATCCTAAAGGGATGGTAATGGTATCAAAGTGATCCAAATCCATACAGTCCTAGCTGATGATATTGCCATGACCAAAACTGTAAAGTTCAGTTAAATTCCAGATCGATGCCAGAAATTTCAAGCAAATAATATCACATAAACTCTGAAGCTCTCTCACTGTCAAGCCAGCAGTTCCCCAAGTAAATGAACTGAATATAACAATTACAAACTAGACGTTGTGTACATTCTTTAATGAACAAGAAGGATACAATTACTGAGTCACGATCCTATTTCTACCCTCAAGAGTTCATGAAGAGCGAAAATGAGTTATGGGTGGACTTTGAGAGTAACCATCTTATGCGTGAAACAAAGGCACCAAAAACTAAGCCATAGACATACAATCATGTTGTGTAGTAAGAACATGCTGACACATACATGAAAGAAACAGCTGAATGAGCTTTACATGAAACCATGAATAGAAGATTGAAGATACAGAAACTCTTACAAAATGATACCATCACCAAGATGTCCTCGGGCCAATTCGACCAAGTGATGAAGATAAGCTTTGTCATCTCCATATGAACCGAACTCATTCTCAATCTGCAAGATAACCACTTTCATTGAAAACTACTAGTTTACAAATACTGAAAGTATGCAAAAAACACTGAAAGTATGGAAACAATTTGGCATTGAGATAAAGAAATATGATCCTATAAAGGTTTAAGACATTTTGTGAGACGATTCTGAATCTTTGATACTTTTTGGAGAATCTTAGAGGAAAATATATTACCAAATGGCTATCAAAACCTTCTTCTATCTCACATAGTGTTAGCTGCAATTTCTTGATGTGGAAAGATTAATTGATAAGCAATTACTTGATTTAGGGAGCTTGATCTAGAGAGATTGATTGATAGGCAATTACTTTTTAGAGAGATTGTAATTATGGTCAATGAGTGATTGTAGAATGTAATTATGTTAATACTTTTCAGACCATTTTTATATGCTATCAGAGCCAAAATTATAAATTTTGTGCTTAACTCTTTAGATTGGTATTTTTTCTTGGTCATGTTGTGGGATATTTTTCTCGGGTTTCTCTTTTGAGACTCCTTCTTTTGGGACTATAGGCAATTTTTTGGTGCAAAGAGATTTTGTTTTGGCTGGACATTATAGCGACAGTTGGGTATTTTAGGAGTTCCCATTCTCAGCAGTCTATAGGTTCTTTTTTTTTTCTTTTTCTTTTTCTTTTTTTTTTTTTGACATCAAAGTCTACTTTTTCACTAGTTCATTTCTTTTGTTTTTTTCTGATTTATCATGAAAGAAAAATATTTTATTGTTTGTTCAAATGGAAAGAATTACTACATTTGAGAGTTTCAATTCAAGATACTTGTGAAGGGAAAAGAATTATGGGGTCACTTAGATGGGTCATCTAAGGCTCTGACTAATCCCGGGGAGAATGATTCCTCGGAGAGCAAGGATGGTTGCATTATCTCTTGGCTATTTGGTTCCAATGAACCAAGTATAGTGAATGATCTTTGATATCACTATGGAGATGTGGGTTTATCTTCAAAGCATTTATTCTCAAAATAACATTGCTTGAAAGTTTTGATTGTAGTTAGAAATTGGTAACTATCGCCAAGGTAATTTTTTTATTGAACAATTTTGTTATGAATTTCTTAATTTGTACAGTGAATGTATTAGGATGGTTCATCCTACCGTTCAAAAGGAGGTCAAAGCGACACTACAAGTTGTCCATTGTAAGAGCCATAGGGATCAATTTTTGATGAAACTAAGATCAGAATTTGAGACTGCATGCACTGTTATGGCCATTATTGCCTGAAAGGGTGGTCAATCTAATAAATGAATGTGAAAAATGCATTTTTGCACGGAGACCTCAAATGAATATATATTACTCCACCTTGCATGTTCACTCACTCCCACTTTAAGATTTGTTGTTAAAACAGTCTCTTTATGGATTGAAGCAAGCACCACGTGCCTGATCTGAGTAATTTCGTTCTACCCTTCTTGATTTAATTTTATTCAGAGTCAGTTTGACTCCTCTCTTTCTCTGAATGAATGCTATTAGGACTGTTGTATTTCTTGTATATGTGAATGATTTTGTTATTAAAGAGTGTCAATTGATTGAGCAACTAAAGGAGCATATTAACACTTCATTTCATATGAAATATTTTGGTATCCTACAGTATTTTCTTAGTCTTGAGGTATGTTGTTGTTCAACTAGCACACTTCTACATAAGCACACGTATATACTCGAGCTTCTCACCTTAGCTAGTTTTAAATCTAGTAACTTGGACCTTACACCAATTGAGGTCAGCTTGAAGTTACAACATAAGTATCCACAGTTGATAAGGAGTTTGAATTATTTTACAATTACTTGGCCACATATTTCTTTTACAATGCAGTAAGTTAGTCAGTTTATCTAGGCTCCTCGCTATTCTCGCCCAATCATTGTACGACGTATCCTTCGTTATCTCAAAAGTATTTCTGGTCACAGGTTATTCTTTTCTACTAGGACTTCTTTATAATTGATGGGTTTTGGTGATACAGATTGGGTTGGTTGTCCTGCTACTTGTTGTTCAATTACTGGTTGGTGCATGTTTCTTAGTGATGCTCTTATTTCCTGTACTGAATATTGTATTATGTCATCTGCATGCTTTGAGATAATTTGGCTTCAGGGTCTATGGGATGAACTTGGTATTCCTCAGCTTATTCCTACTCTTCTTCATTCTAATAACACCATTTTTATTCAAATTGTTGTCAATCTAGTCTTTCATGAGCACATTAAAGTAGATTGTTATTCTATTTTTTTTTGGTTACCAACATGCAATTGTTATCCCTTACATTTTCACTAAGTTCCAGACTATTGATGTGTTTACCAAGGCTTTATCTCGTCATCAAAATAAACTCATGGCTAACAAATTGATGCTTCGTGAAATATGAGGGGATGTTGGTTGTAATATCTTGATTTAAAAAGATCGATTGATATACAATTACTTGATGCAGGGAGCTTGATCAAAGGAGATTGATTGATATACAATAACTTAATTTAGGGAGCTTGATCTGGGAAGATTGATTAATAGAAAATTAGTTGTTTATAGTTACCTTTTCAGATAGAATGTAATTATGGTAAAGGAGTGATTATAGAATGTAATTCTGTTAATACTTGACTATAAAAGAAGCAATCCTCCATTGAGAGGCATTCAGCTAATATCTTCATCAGGTATACTAGAAATGATGCAAGAAAAAACCATACTAGTTTGACCCAATTTTATTTATAAATATCCATCATCTTTCATTCGCCTCATGACAATGTATAGCCAATAGAGCCAATACACGAAGGGAATTGGAAACAAAGAATGAAAGATATATTTTAAAAAGATCAACTAATGTTGTGAATTTTTTATTTTTCTTTACAAGAGTATAATTGCTTATCAAGGGAAACTTCTTTCTCCAAAGAAATTTAACTGTTGAAAAATTATTAGCAGTGAGATCTATAGCTTTCTACAACTTGTTAAAGAAAAACTATCTTCTAAATGGAAATATTTCACATTTTGGATGTTGTGATCAACGACAATATCCACATCATTTTTTACATTTATACTCTGTTATAAATCATAGAAGATGTATTAATAAGAAGTAACAAATTCACTTACCTGAACCATTATGATTGGGCCTCCATTATTATAGAGAAACGGAGCTACCTTGGGAAGTAAGATTCCCCACCAGTTATCAACCTACAAAATTTAAGTTTACTGACTAAAAAAGACAGATTCAAAATTACAACATTTAGCGATCATGGGATACAGAACTAAAAGAATTTATGCAATCACTTCATCATTATTAACCCCAAACAAATTTGCATTACCTCGATAAGCCATCATCAATCTAAAAATTTCGTAAAACAGAGCCTTTTATTTCAAGGCCATATAGATAGTCAAATGAAGCATCCTCGTGATAGCATAAAAAGACCAAACCATCTTGTAATTGTCTTCTTATATAAGAACTTAATAGGTAAACATATGTAACTTCAAAGAAATAATACAAACCAAAGTAGGGTGAAATAGAATGATCAATCCAACCTATGATGAAGGATATATATATATATATATATATATATATATATATATATCCTATATCTAAAAA